CTCTGTTTTATTTCTTTTGAACAAAACAACGCGGGCTGATTTCAATGTTAAGAGCACTTCTCTTCTATATGAGCGAGGGCTCCGAGTCTGTAGTCCATGCGATCTTCAAATAACACGAATAAAATAAAAGGGAACCAGCGCTAGATGAACTAGCTACAATTTTTTTCCTCCACTTCACCTTCGCTTTAAAAAATTCAAGACACTTTACTCTCATTAAAAATTCACATATGTGAATCTTTCATTTATAATTTATTTGATAATACCTAAGAAATATTTCATGAGTGTCTCTGACAATAGCAGGTATTATTCTCATTGTAAGTACCAAGCAATATATACATATATTTATCGCGTTACAGGCCAACTATGGACCACGCGTATACCATTTTAAAGTTTCCATCTCTCTTTTTATTTCGTATGTTCATTCATCAGCTTCTTACTTCTTCTTTTTCTCTGCTACAAAAAAAAACATCATGTTTTTTTTTCACTATTTTCCCGAATTTCTATCTATATTGATAGTCTTTCTCTTTTATACCTATTTTTTCTATTTCTTCTTTTATTTGTTCCGGATGTCGTTTCTTGTTCTTCAGTCCCAGAATTTATGGGATATTAGTTTGTTTAACCTATTCCGATCCATTCTCTTCATACACCCGAAGAATTTTAGTCTCCTTTTCCTCATCGATGGTTCCAAGCTTTCAATATGATCATAAAGCTCACTATTCTTTTTTAAACTACTCCTTTTTTGTACTAGTCTTGGCCTCTGTATTAATTTCAGTATGTTTATATATATATATATATATATATATATATATATATATCTTTTTTTCAATTATTTAATTATCTGCTTTAAATGCACTTCAGAACTAACAACTTACATAATGTCTATTTTACATAATAATTACAAAATGTCTATTTTATATATCGACGACAGGCAATAAAAATCTAGTCACTCCATCTGCTTTTATAAACCACACAACTTTCTTTGCTTTTATAAACCACAGAATGACTAACTCCAATTTAAGCATTTTTGAGTGATGTCATTTTAGTGATATTTTTAGTTGTAAAAGTTATCTATGCAGACTGTGAGTAAGTTGATTTCAGAGGTGGTGATTGCAGTATTGAAATATATAACTGAGAATAAAGGTATGAATTTAGGTACTTATTTCTTATGAAAGATGTTTTAGGAAAGACACTTTATTAAGTATCTGTAGGAAAAAGGTTTTTTTAGTCTCAACAATTAAAAAAATATATTTTAAATTTATCCAAATTTTCGCCTATTCAGGGACTAACCATAGAGACCATATCTTTCCTCCTAATTGTCCGATTTCAACGATTTTTTTTTTTTTTAGAAAATTCCATAAACTTTTAAAAAACCATATAAAATACTATCATATTAAATACCTTTGAAACATCTTATCAGATCTCTAAAAAAGTGTATACTTTTTGAGTTATTCGGAATTTAATTTTACCATCCCTCGTAACTTTTTGCCCAGCTTCTTTTCGTTGAACTATGTTATATAGATAAAGTTAAGGGTGTCGAGAAAATGACTTCAGAGAAGTTTCATAGAAATCGGTACATTCGTTTAGACGCTACAGCCTATAGAAATTTAGGTTTTTTTGTTGCCATCTTGAATGGAAAAGGCGGATAGAAATATCGAAGAAGGAAGATCATCCTCGGGTGACTTCTAATTTTAAATCCAAATTAAAAAAAAAATGGTCCAGTAATTTCGTAGAAAATGCGCAGACGTCGGACCGCGGACAGATAAAAAATTTTTAATTAGTTTTTCGAATTTTATGGATCAGAAAAGTAAAACGTCAAATTTTGAGAGAGGGTTAAGTTTTTGAATTTTTTGTTCGATCACAATGGTTCATTATTGAAAATAATAAACCAAAAGAGGAAGAAAAGTAAAATCACAAAGGGCTGGTTTGTTTTTTGTAATTTATTCATTTTTTTATATCAGATATCCATAAGGTACTCTTATGTTACCAGGACATAACAGTTTTATTGAAAAATAGATAAAATGGTTATAACTTGTTTGTGATTTGTTGGACAAATCGACACATTTTCAATTAATAATGTTCTCGCCAATTGAAGTTCACTTGCATTATCAATACGAATTCAAGGTTTTGGGTTGTTTCACAACTGAGTGAATACATTTACATAATTGTGAGGTATTTAACGTCGAATTTAGTTTTTGTTGGAAATGCCAGGGAAAACAATTCACATAATACATTCCTAGTATTTGTTTCGGTTTAAAGCAAGCATTCTACTTTCTGTGGAACCTTTCACAAAAATATATATATATTTTTTTTTTAAAGAAAAGTAATGTGAACTATTGCTGTTATTTTAGGTTTAGGAGAAAACATCTGATGATCATCATTTTCCTCATAACTACTCAAATTAATTAATTTTTTTAATGTTAAAAGGTCAATCATAAAAGTAAATATATATATATATATATATATATATATATATATATATATATATATATATATATATATAAAGTACATAAATAATTTATTATTTTAAAGAAAAAATATAAAATATAATAAAGAAATGAAGTCAATAAGCATGCAAGAAAAAAAATCAGATTTAGCCGATTATTTTTAATAGCGATTGTTTGATACATTATTACCATTAAAGTAAGGCCTTACCAAGTTAATGATGTAAACCACATATTTCCATCATTCTCCTAACGCGAAGACACTCCTCGAAGAAATGACTCACCGCGAGAGTCACTTAATATAATTGATAACTGAGGTGGATCTCCCCATTGGTCTACAGGCAAAGTACGATTCGGAATGCGGAATTCCACTGAGCAACATGTAGCATGCGGCGTTGATACACACGGTCTTTCCATAGAAGGAACACAAAGCGACAAAAAACAGGTTTCCTTGCAACATGCTAAAAGTTGACCGTTGTTGCCTGTCGAATTCGTCATCTCTT